TCATATTAATCATACTATAACAGAGAAATAAACCATCATACAAGACATTAATCCAAATAAAATAAAATAAAATATATTCATGCAACCACAAACAATGTAGGGGATTAAACAAAATCACACGTATTAAACAAATCAAATAATTTCTTGGCTTTATCACTTCTCATAATTTTCAGGACCTCTGTATACATGGCAAGCTCCTTTTTAAAGACATTCAACTGGGGTGCTGTTTTCAGAACTTTACATTTGTGAATAAAGTATTTTAATATGAGGAGTAAACAATTTACAACAAAGTCTACACTTTTGTCCTCCAAAAGAACTCCAAATTTCAACACGTCCCAAGTAATGGATGGAAAAATAGATATTCTTTGTTTAATCCAATTACATACTTCAGCCCAAAACGAATTAACCAGATAACAATGGAAAAATAAGTGTTCAACAGTTTCTACATCATTATTACAGAATTGACAAATATTACAATCCACATTAAATCTTAATCTCAGAAATTCCTTGGCAGGATAAATATCGTACACAATTTTAAAGTGCACTTTTTTTATATTTTGGTGGAAGAGGAAATAACTAATATTTGTATCTAAATTCATTAACTGATTTCCTATTTAGATGTTGGACCAGGATAGCTTTCCTGCACAAGACAATTTCTTATAAACGTATTAGTACACTTCTCATCTACAAAATTTATGTAGCCTAATTTAAGATCAACAATCTTGGGAATGATAGTGGAGTATGTTAAAATCCCCTTTAACATATTAAGGAATGGTAAAGGAATACTTTTACTAACTTTCAAATAAACTTTTTCCGCACACTTAAAATTTAAATTTAGTGCAAAAATCATTATAATTAAAACAGCATTTTCCAATGCAAGAGGACTTGTTTATGAAAATCTGACAGTTTCAGTGGAATTTTAGATATCTCAAAGTCACATTGTAAAAAAAAAACTTTATACCTCCAAATTTTTAAACAAACTGGATGCAATTGCAAACCAGTATGAATGCTCATTTCTAATAAAATACTGAAGCCATTTAAGTTTAAGTACTCCATTCATAATATCAAAATCTATTGCCTTTAACCCACCATCCTCATATTCTCTTATTATATCATTTTTCCTTATATAGTGATACTTTTTCCTTGAAATCAAAATTAAGTTTATTAATTGCTTTTATCTTTCTGGAAGAAATTGGCAATGAAAAACCTGGGAAAATTAATCTGGAAAGACTTTCAATTTTCGATAGCAATATTCTCCCGAATCGCTCTGTAACCAAGAGTTCATAATTGATCTACATTTTTCAATTTTTTTGTCAATATTTAACATTTCAATTCTCTCTACATCTTTTGAAATTGTGATACCTAAATATTTCACCTCCTTCTTAATTGAAACATTATATAATGAGGTTAAAGGGAGCTCGTGAATAGCCATCAATTCACATTTCGAAGTATTTAGCTGTAATCCTGATGCTTTGGTAAAACACTCTACAGAATGAAGTGCTAATGGGATTTGCATATGATCTTTTAAAAAAAGGGTTGTATCGTCAGCAAGCTGACTATTGATTCCATTTCTAACAGTGCCGTGTTGTGATTGGTTGTTTCAGAATTTCCGTTGCCTGTGTTCCAAATCCAATCTGTTGAGAGAGTATGGAGGGAAAACGGTCCGTCTCAGCACAGCCAATACACACTCATACAGGAAAGGTGGATGCATGTGCACACTTTGACATTTGCGCAGTCTTTTCATGTGCATGGTCAGTAAAATCATACTGACCCCAGACCTTTCGACGTTAGTGTAAGTGTTCATGTTTCTCTATTGCTCTGTCTTTTAACAGTGGATGTGCAGTTTGAAGAGTTTGTGAAGTTCCTGTTGACCCCTCAGCCTGAAGACACACTGGGCAGTGGTCAGCTCTCTCACTTTCACACGCACACGCACACACACACCAAATCAGTTCATTCTACAAGCTTTCCCCACTGTACATCTGTAATCCTGATGCTTTGGTAAAACACTCTACAGAATGAAGTGCTAATGGGATTTGCATATGATCTTTTAAAAAAAGGGTTGTATCGTCAGCAAGCTGACTATTGATTCCATTTCTAACAGTGCCGTGTTGTGATTGGTTGTTTCAGAATTTCCGTTGCCTGTGTTCCAAATCCAATCTGTTGAGAGAGTATGGAGGGAAAACGGTCCGTCTCAGCACAGCCAATACACACTCATACAGGAAAGGTGGATGCATGTGCACACTTTGACATTTGCGCAGTCTTTTCATGTGCATGGTCAGTAAAATCATACTGACCCCAGACCTTTCGACGTTAGTGTAAGTGTTCATGTTTCTCTATTGCGCTGTCTTTTAACAGTGGATGTGCAGTTTGAAGAGTTTGTGAAGTTCCTGTTGACCCCTCAGCCTGAAGACACACTGGGCAGTGGTCAGCTCTCTCACTTTCACACGCACACACACACCAAATCAGTTCATTCTACAAGCTTTCCCCACTGTACATGATTATTTCATAATGTGTGCGCATTATTTCAGATACGCTGTACTTCTTTGGGGACAATAACTTCACGGAGTGGCATTCTCTGTTTGAGGAGTATAAAGCACCACCTTTTTCTCTTCCACTCATGCTTCCTGCATATAGCTTTGGGATTGCTGGTATGTACAAATATACTCTCCTATCCAGCTAAATCTTTTTTTGAGTGCACACATTTTCACCCATTAAAGGAATAGTATAATGTGTTCATCATTAGGCCATCTAAGATGTAGTTGTAATGTTTGTTTCTTCATCAGAACCGATTTGGATAAATTTATCATTACATCAGTTGCTCACCAATGGATGCTCTGCAGTGAATGGGTGCCGTCAGAAGGAGAGTCCAAACAGCTGATAAAAACATCACAATAATCCACACCACTCCAGTCCATCAGTTAATGTCTTGAGGAGCAAAAAGCTGTGTTTGTAAGAAACAAATCCATCATTTATGTGTTTTTAACTTTAAACCATTGCATAATATCGCTTCCTCCAGTGAAAAAAAATAAGCTTGTCTGAATCAGGAGAGAAATCTGCACAGATCAAGCACCGTTTACAAGCAAAAACAGTTCTAAACAAATATGTGGGTGGATTTTGATGTGAGAGGACAACAGACGATGGACTTTTTCAAGCGTTATTATGGATTATGGACACTTATTTTGGCCAGAAGCAACAGTTTAAAGTTAAAACACCTTAATGATGGATTTGCTTCTTACAAACACACAGCTTTTCGCTCCTCAAGATATTAACTGATGGACTGGAGTGCTGTGGATTATTGTGATGTTTTTATCAGCTGTTTGGACTCTCATTCTGACGGCACCCATTCACTGCAGAGGATCCATTGATGAGCAACTGATGTAATGCTAAATTTCTCCAAATCTGTTCCGAGGAAGAAACTAACTCATCTACATCCTGGATGGTCTGAGGATAAATACATTATCAGCAAATTGTCATCTTTGGGTAAACTACATCTCTCCGCTGCAGGACCAGGTACTGGTGTCCCGTTTCACTGGCACGGTCCCGGCTACTCTGAAGTTATCTATGGCAGGAAGGTCTGTGGAATGCTAAACTCATACAAATGTATTATTTCCAGCTTAAGCACAGATGTAATTTTCCCTGTCTATATACTGATGTGCTTGTGTTCTCCAGCGTTGGTTTCTTTACCCTCCTGATGATGCACCTGAGTTCCATCCCAACCACACCACTCTCTCCTGGGTCTCTCTGTCCTACCCAAACCTGGAGCTCCACCAGAGGCCCCTGGAGTGCACCATACGACCCGGAGAGGTGAGGTTTAACCCATTTACACACTTAAATAGTAGGCACAAATTGTCAGAGTAATGTCAAAGTCATGTATTCCAGAGATAAAACCGCATGTTTTTGTGCAGGTGCTGTATTTTCCAGATCGTTGGTGGCATGCAACTCTAAATCTGGACACCAGCGTCTTCATTTCAACATTTCTGGGGTGAAGACTGATATGGTGGACACACACCTTGTGCATTTGACTTGAAGGACCGAACAAGGATTCGTTGTTCAGAGGACCAAATCAGAGGAGTTTGACTCGGTTTGAGCAAAACAGAAAGCCAAGCCATTCGTCCATTAACTTGAGCAATGTTTTTTAATAGAAGCTGCTTTTATTGCGAGATTGAGGTTATTGTTTAATTAAGTTGTGTTGTCGAAACATATGAATTGAATGCTTTGTTAGGTTTTATTGTTGGGTTTTTGAATTTTAAAGATGCATTTAATTAAACAGATAATCAGTTCAAGTAAGCTGGATATCATTAATACATCCATTATATGTGCGTCTTCCTCAATCAGACTCACAAAAATAAATTTTTATCAATAAAGGAACATTTTTATTTTACCGAAAAAATGATAAAACCTTAAAAATGTTAACAAATAAAAAGAATAGAATAGAAACATTGAAATCAGTTGGTTAAACTGTCCAGTTTCACATTAGATTGGGGGCATTGAATTATGTAGGTTATTATTGAAATAACTGGACCCTTGAGATTTTTTTTACTTTTGTGTTTCACATTTGAACAAGTTAGATTTGTGTTAAAAATCCATACACACACAGTATGTGATCAAAATGATTCTGGCTCTTTTTAAATGCCCCAAGATACATTCTGCTACAGTACATGAGCATAAAGAGTGTCATAATAGTAATAAAAATATTTGTATATATGGAGTAGTTTTTTATATTCTGGAATCAATCAATAGAATTCAATTTAATGAGAATAACACATTCTAACCAAAAAACTCTTAAGGATCCCAGCAGAAGACAGTCCTCCAGATGATGTCACTTCCTCCAGACCTGCTGTCCAGCAATGTAGGTTTCCCTGAGTGTCAGTGTGTCATCAAGCACTATGAAATCTACAAAACAACACCCATAACTGCGTTTCATATCAAAAACACTTTATTGTGAACACATCTATCCAGCGGACACAATAATGCCTTAACCACGAATAATAAATAAAATAAAATATACATTTTAAAAATTCCAACTTTAACTTTTAAAAATTAAAATTAATTTTAAAATACATCCAAATAGAAAAGAGTTATTTTAACTTCCAATAATATGAATATTTAACTGCTAATAACCCCCAAAAAGCGCAGTTAGATCTTCATATATTCTAGTATATGTAGTATATTCTCCAACAAGGAGGATCACATTTGATGACATAAGGAAATCGCAGCAAATGTGGCAATGCTGTGGCATATGCTATTAACACATTAAATGTGCATGATATTTTTTTAATATTGTGTATGAGTTTAAAGGAATAATTCATCCAAAAATGAAAGTTTGCTTAAAATGTACTCACCCTCAGGTCATCCAAGATGTAAATTAGTTAGTTTTTTTTACCAAAACAGATTTTGAGAAATGTAGCATAACATCAGTTGCTCATCAATGGATTATCTGCAGTGAATGGGTGCCGTCAGAATGAGACTCCAAACAGCTGATAAAAACATCACAATAATCCACAAGTAATCCACACCACTCCAGTCCATCATTAATGTCTGGTGTAGTGAAAATATGTGTGTTTGTAAGAATCAAATCCATCATTAAGGCATGTTGGGCACCCATTCACTGCAGAGGATCCATTGGTGAGCAAGTGATGTAATGCTGAATTTCCCCAAATCTGTTCTGATTAAGAAACAAACTCATATACAGGTGCATCTCAATAAATTAGAATGTCGTGGAAAAGTTCATTTATTTCAGTAATTCAACTCAAATTGTGAAACTCGTGTATTAAATAAATGCACACAGACTGAAGTAGTTTAAGGTTCTTTAAATTGTGATGATTTTGGCTCACATTTAACAAAAACCCACCAATTCACTATCTCAAATAGTCAAATTAGAATATGGTGCCAATCATGCCAATCAGCTAATCAACTCAAAACACCTACATTGGGGTCAGGAAGTTTTTTTTTTTAAAAGAAAGAAATACTTTGAATTGAGAAAGGACACATTAAATTGAACAAAATTGACAGTAAAGACTTTTATAATGTTACAAAAGATTTCTATTTCAAATGAATGCTGTTCTTTTGAACTTTATATTCATCAAAGAGTCAGCAAAGGATCATGTGACACTGAAGACTGAAGTAATCCTGCATCACAGGAATAAATTACATTTTAAAATATATTCTTTAAAAAAACTGTTATTTTTCTTTATGAATATACCCCGAACTTATATCTGTTTTAACTCTGCACCTTGTTATTCAATAGTAACATAATATTCAAACAATTAGACTAAATAATTAAAAAACGCTCTAAAACAACCCTACAATCAGCAACAGTATTATTACAAATAATTTTACTCAAACTTTTCGGTATGGTTTGAAATGCCTTTCACTTTCTAAATCGAATTTATCTAAAAAATAAAAAAAGATAAATAGAAATTGTCAAATTCAACACTGCTTCAACTGACATACAAACAATTTGTCACCAAATTTAAGATGCATCTGGGTTAACTTGCTGCACACTGAAAGCAGACAGAACATGACGCAGACCTGCGACGTAAGCGTGAAGCCCCTGGATGTCTATCTGCTGCTGTCCGAGTGTGTGTCGACCGGGAGGAAGACCCATCGCCATCACAGCGTCAGTGACCAACACCAACCCTGCCACCAACACACAGAGTAACTTTAATACAGTGAAAACCTGACATGCACTTCATTAAACTATTTTGTATTGTCATATATAATCAGTATTATGTACAGGTTTGTAGTTTTGTGTGTGTTTGTGAATACCTGCGGGATGAGCTCTGTGTGCGATGCGCAGCGCAGCAGGGTGTGTGTGTATCCCGTCTGCGATCATACCGTAGTAAACCGTCCGACCTGGTGGAACACGATCACTTGTGAGCAATCCCACAATGCCTGGGTCTCGATGATGAAACTGTAACAAAACAAAATAGCATGCATCGTTCATAGTATGCATATTCATGTTTTAAAATGATTACATTGATTTATTTTCATGGTACGGTAGCGTACTAGGAATATGATGTTATTTTAAACATGTATATGTGTGCACAAACTTACAGTATGTGGTCTAATGCAATTACCTGCTAATTACTGAATGTGCATATGTGTGTGTATGCCTTTCTATTAATGTGTGTGTGATACTAACAGGCAACATGGCATTAAACAAATGTGTAATGAACGTGGCTCCATGCTGCACAGCCTCTTCAGCCTGAGAGAGATCAGCCATAGAGTGACCTGGACAGAGAGACACTTTAGAAATGCTCAGCCAGTTGAGAAATTAGTTAGAAATAAAATAAGAAATAAGAAATTACATACGCACCAAGTGACACTGCTATGCCTCTTCCTGACAGTTCACGGATTGCTGCCGCGCTATTGGCTAGTTCTGGTGCCAGGGTTACCATGGCGACATTATCCAGGTACCCATAAGTCTCCATCAGGTTGGCCACGCCACCTGCTTTAAAAGTGCGGAGGAACTTCGAAGGGTGAGCGCCTCTCTTCTCTTCACTGATGAACGGCCCCTCCAGATGAATACCTGAAACAACCGGGAGTAAAATCATTAAAAAAAATTCAAATATGAAATAAAATATCAACACTAAAGAACACAAAACTAAAGAAATGTCAACACCAGTGTTAGTTTTTAAGTATTATAATTGAGTTCCTAATATAGTTTTTTATCAATGTTTGGAATTAGTTTTTATTTGTACATTTTCTGTTTTTCTAGTTCTAGTAATTGTATTGTCTGTTTTTGTCATTTTATTAGTTATATATATATATATATATATATATATTTATTTTTTCATTTCAGTTATTTTGGTAAATCAATTTAAACTAAAAAAAATTGAAATGTTTTTAACGCTTATTTTATTTCAAGTAACAAAAAGTTTTTTGTTGTCTCAGTTTTAGTTTAATAATCCCTGGTCAACACACATTTGAATAAAGTAAATAAAGTCTATTTTGTGTGCACAGTGCACACTACATCTGTGTACAGTGGGGAAAATATTAATTTGTTCCCCTGCCGATTTTGTTAGTTTGCCCACTTACAAAGAAATGAAGGGTCTGTAATTTTTATGGTAGGTTTATTTTAACGTATAGAGACATAATACCAACCAAAAAATCCAGAAAAACACATTTTATAAAGGTTAGAGATTGATTTGCATTTCAGTGAGTGAAATAAGTATTTGATCCCCAAGGAAAACATGACTTAGTACTTGGTGCAGAAACCCTTGTTGGCAAGCACAGAGGCAAGACTTTTTTTGTAGTTGGTCACCAGGTTTGCACACATCTCGGGAGGGATTTTGATCCACTCCTCTTTACAGATCCTCTCTAAATCCTTTTTATAAGGTTTCTTGGCTGTCGTTTGGCAACTCGAAGTTTCAGCTCCCTCCACAGATGTTCTACAGGATTGAGCTCTGGAGACTGGCTAGGCCACTCCGTGACTTTACGAGCCACTCCTTTGTTGCCTTGGCGGTATGTTTCGGGTCATTGTCATGCTGGAAGACCCATCCATGACCAATCTTCAGTGTTCTGGCTGAGGGAAAGAGGTTCTCGTCCAAGATTTTACAGTACATGGCCCCGTCCATTTGCCCCTCAATGTGGTGAAGTTGTCCTGTACCCTTAGCAGAAAAACAGCCCCAAAGCATAAGGTTTCCACCTGCTTGACTGTAGGGATGGTGTTCTTGGGGTCATAGTCAGCATTTCTTTCCCTCCAAACACGGCGAGTCGAGTTAATGCCAAAGAGCTCAATTTTGGTCTCATCTGACCACAGCACTTTCTCCCAAGCCTTCTCTGAATCGTTTAGATGTTCTTTGGCAAACTTTAAACGGGCCTGTACATGCGCCTTCTTGAGCAGGGGGACCTTGCGGGTACTGCAGGATTTCAGTCCATTGCAGCGTAGTGTGTTACCAACGGTTTGCTTGGTGACTGTGGCCCCAACTGCCTTAAGATCATTAACAAGCTCCTCCCGTGTAGTTTGGGGCTGATCCCTCACCTTTCTTATGATCATCCTTACCCCATGAGGCGAGATCTTGCACGGAGCTCCAGAACGAGGCAGATTGACGGTTATTTTGTATTTCTTCCATTTCCGGATAATCGCACCAACAGTTGTCTCCTTCTCACCAAGTTTCTTGTTGATGGTCTTGTAGCTCATTCAAGCCTTGTGCATATCTACAATCTTGTCTCTGACATCCTTTGACAGCTCTTTGGTCTTGCCCATGGGTGGTGGGAGAGGTTGGAAAGGAAGATACAGATTGTGTGGACAGGTGTCTTGTACACCTAATGAGCTGACATTAGGAGTAACTTCTTAAAGTGACAGGACTAATCTGTGTTCCACATGGGCACATAACCAATCTGTGGGAGCCAGAATTCTTGCTGGTTGGTAGGGGATCAAATAATTATTTCACTCACTGAAATGCAAATCAATTTCTAACCAAATATCTTACGCTCGCTGCACTGGAAACCGTTGCAGTACCGTATTGAGTTTCAAATGTTGCTTTTTTGTGTACAAAGCTATAAATTGTCTTGCTCCTCAATATCTTTCGGAGTTGCTTATTGTTCACAATCCTGTCAGATCACTCAGATCTCAGACTACACATTTGTTGTGGGTTCCCAGAACTACACTAAAATGTAGGGGAGATAGAGCCTTCTCTGTTGCTGGTCCCAAATTATGGAACACTCTGCCTCTATCTATAAGAACTGCTTCTACGGTGTCTGAATTTAAATGTCTTTTAAAAAAACATCTTTTCTCACATACTTTTAATGATAGGTGATTGGGCTGATTTAAGCTTATATGGACTTTACTGGTGTGTTTAAGCCTATGCAGTCCTAACGAAGCGATTAGGTCTGTGCATTTTTCAAATGCTGTAATTAGATTTATGCTTTATGTACAGCACTTTGGTCAACTAAAGTTGTTTTAAATGTGCTTTATAAATAAACTGAACATTGAACCTTTATATAATGTGTTTTTTCTAGATTGTTTGGTCTCTGTCTGTTAAAATAAACCTACCATAAAAATGACAGACCCTTCATTTCTTTGTAAGTGGGCAAACTTACAAAATCAGCAGGGGATCAAATCAATCTTTTCCCCACTGTACATCTTACCTAAAACTCCTGCCCCTTTAGGTCCTCCATCCTGAACTCTGAGCTCAGGAATGACCTGTGGAGAGAAACACAGCAAAATTACTGGTGCTAAAAGAGCACAACTTTTTGCAACACTGAAAATATTAAGAACTGAGCAGCAAATCAGCATATTAGAATGATTTCTGAAGGATCACGTGACACTGAAGACTGGAGTAATGATGCTGAAAATTCAGCTTTGATCACAGGAATAAATTACATTATACAATATATTCAAATAGACACAGTCATTTTAAATTGTGATAATATTTCACAATATGACTGTTTTTACTGTATTTTTGATCATTTAAATGCAGCCTTGACCACAATATTATTGTTTTTACTGTATTTCTGATCAAATAAATGCAGCCTTGGTCATAATATTACTGTTTTTACTGTATTACTGATCAAATAACGCAGCCTTGGCCACAATATTACTGTTTTTACTGTACTTCTGATCAAATAAATGCAGTTTTGACCAAAAATATTACTATTTTTACTGTATTTCTGATCAAATAACGCAGACTTGGTCATAATATTACTATTTTTACTGTATGTCTGATCAAATAATGCAGTCTTCGTCATAATATTACTGTTTTTACTGTATTTTTTATCAAATGAATGCAGTCTTGGTAAGCATAAGAGCACAAAAACATAATTATTCCAACACATTTTATTCTTAGATAAAGTCTCAGATACTATAAAATCTCAAGGGAAAAGAGCAGAGATGTATTTGTGTGTGTGGTTGAGCATCCAAGAGACACACACACACACACACACCCACCCACCACACCACATAAAAACAGAAAATACTTCCATTAGAAAATAAAACGTGATTATTATGTATTGTGACAACTTAAATAATCTAATGCAGTAATGTAAGGTTTTCAAATGAATCCTTATGATTTAATTTATTAATTGGACATCTCAAACCCAAACAGATTGCATGCAAAACAGAAAGTACTTCCATAAAATAATATTATTAATAATGAAAACTTCTCTGATGCACACTTTCTGAAGGCAATATTCTATGATTAGCCTATTCTTTAACACCTATATAATTATGACAATGTCAATAATGTGCACTTTTTCATGTTTTATGAAAAGTGCTATACAAATAAACTGACTTGACATCCATAAAATACAATGACCTAACAATCATTGCCCTTTTGAACACATTTTATCTCTTTTTATGACATAGTATTTAACTTTGTACTGTCAAACATATTTTCCACACAAAGAAACCTCCCATTTAAACGGACACCCAGATCTGTCAACATGTGCATTATAATTATTTTTGTTATTTATTAATATTCAGCACATAATAGCACCGTTTTTAAAACAACAAGCGGTGCTTTTACACTGTTAACGATACACTGTTATAGCAGAAGGTAAACAAAAACACCGGAAGTACGGATCAAAGTCTTCATTCACACAGATACCAGATCATAAGAGGGACATGATCACCGGCTGTAGTTTCATAAACACACTTACCGTTAATTCACATACTTTTACTCTGATGCTCCGCTCGCTTGTGTTGTTCGCTAGGAAGTCAGCACAGTGCGTCACGCGCGCTGTCAGCTGGTGAGGAGGCGTGGCCAAAATACACGCGCTCCAATCGTGTTTAAAACCGCAGACACAAATGAAAAGAATGAATATGGATATATAAATTCATTTTAATTTTAGAGACAGAAGCTCAAATATATATATATATATATATAAATTATGCTTGAAAAATACGAACGCTGTAAAATGTATGATTTGTAAACATTTTGTTTTTAATAATATCCTTTGATATTATTATTATTAATGTATTATTGTTTATCCTAATGTACCCCCTGGCTGTATTTGTAATTGTATAAAACCATAAAAAACATGAATTAATTGCAATATATTGTCATATATTTGTTTCATATATAATCATATAATGTTATAATGTCAAGCACAGGTTACTTTATCTCAGCCGCTCTGTGTGCGGTGAGGCTACACATTGTTTTCGGTGCACATTAATATCAAAGGACAGATGTAGCTGCCGGTGTTCTGACAAATAATTAGAGTTGGGCAAGTTACTTCCAAAATGTGATACGTTATATATTACTAGTTACTGTGTTTTGAAAGTAATTAGTTACATTACAGTATTACTGTCTCTGAATTGTAATGCGTTACACTACTTTTGAGTTACTTTCACCAAAATATCCACAGAAGTATTATAAAATGCCCAAATGTAGTTTATTGCTGCTCATTCTACACCCAGTGGAGGGTAATGTGGTAGGTCTATATAGCATAGAATTATAAAATCATATTTAGATGCCGGGATGTAGGTCTACATTAATGTTACGTTGTAGTTTTAGGTTAAACACAGATAAGCAGAAACCACATTATTACATTCATAAATAACACCGGTAAATAAAGCAAAATGTTATAATGTACAAACAATAAACACAATAACTAGCCTATAGGCAATTTTGAACGGTTTCAGAAGAAAACAAGAATGAAAAATATAAGTTGCTAAACAAGCCAAAACGAATTAGGCTAATCAGTGGCGGCGCTAGGGGGGGGCTTGACGGGAAACTTGCTTAATTTACAATTTTTCCTAATGATGTTCCCTTATTTTTGGTGTCACTTTCATTAACATTGAAAAATAGACATAAAAAAGTGCCTAATATGTGGCCTATAAACGACTGATATTATGGGGGCGGGGTCAAGCAACACAAGCAAGCAACGCGCAAACTGTGCGCAAGAGTTATGCCGGT